CCTATTATTTTATTCCTTTCCCTACATGTATATAACCCTTTTAAGACCTAAACTCTTTCATTGAAGTCCTTCCAAATAGATTTAAAGGAAACCCATCTCCTCATAAATATTTCTCTCACTAGAAACCCTCCATTAGAGAAGAAGAGGAAGGAAGCTATTGAGGCTAGGGTTTGGCAATTTCAAAGTCGTTTCTGCTCAAATTTCTTGTGGATTTCTTCGGATAAAGGTATAGTGCCTCTTTATCTAGGGTTAGCTCTCACCCTAGAGTCCTGTAAAAGTGGTTTTCAAAGCTTACAAAACTTAAAAACCTAGATCTTTCACTCTTCAATATGGGTTCAAACTTCAATTGTTTTAAATGGCTTTATTATGAAGTAATGTGATTGTGTTGATGTTGATTATGGTTTTATGAAGAAAACTCTCAAAGAACCCATGTTTTCCTAAAGTCTTCAATGGTGCCCTAAGAAGTGGGTTTGTGGATTGTTCAAGAAAGTGATTAAGAGATGCTTAAATTGAATTAGTTTATTGAAGTAATACGATTATGCATGCCTAATTATGAATAATTGTTGGTATGTAGAGATATAAAGAATGTATGCATGAGCATAATATGAAAAATGAATGCACGAACATGATATGAGGTATGTGGTGTGTGATCTAAATGCAAGTAATGTAATCATACCTAGAATGCAAATGTGCTAGTATTGAACCGACATTCTCAATTATGCACTTATGAACAAAGATGTTTGCTTGTGGAAGGTTTGTTCCATTTTAATTAATCTTTAATTGGTAGACTTAGGTTTCCTTTTCTTGAAAGCATGTATGAAGTTATATGATCATGTTATGATGTGTTGATTTTAAAGGTTATTCTCAATTCTTCACTAAAGCATGTTAAGGAATTCTTATATGAAAAGTTATTCTCATGTTTGAATCTATGAGCTATCCTCGTGTTGGGATAGTATGGATGCGCTCATGATAGTTGAGGCGGGGTATCTAGTAGCAATCCTTGGAGATGGATGCCCATACATTAGTTGAGGCGGGGTTATCTAGCAATAATCTCCATCCCTAAAAGACTTACGCATGTTGGTATGAGATGGATGCCCATATGTTAGTTGAGGCGAGGTTATCTAGCAACAATCTCTGTTCCTGAATGAACTAATGACATGAACAACTCTATGGGAATGAAGACTAAGCACCGAGATGTCAGTGAGTGGGATGGATGCCCTTACGATAGTTGAGGTGGGGTTTCTAGTAGCAATCCCATGTGATGGATGCCCATACGTTAGTTGAGATGGGGTGTCATGTAGCAAGCTCTTTGTCCCTTAACTATGTGCCCACATAGGATAGCTAGTGGATCCATTAGGCTAATCACCGATCGACCTTAGGCAAGTTGATCACCTTCTTACGGTGTTAGGTTACATGACACCAGATTCTATGATTTAGCTCTCATAGTCTATGTCGGTTAAATGCTTATTCCATCAAGTGAGGTAACCATTATGGTTTCTTGAGAAGTTCTGTGACGCGTGGATAGTTGTATGGGATGCTATCCATGCATTTGCACGAGTAGGCTTCAAGAGGGCTATAGTGAGAATCTCTACTTCCTAATGAAAAAAAGTGTTCTAAATGAACAAATGAAGCAAGTTGCCTTTATGTCTTTTCTGATATGATGTATGTTTCACACGTCTATATGAAATGGTGTATGTCTTCTATGATATGATGTATGTCTCACATGTCTATATGAAATGGTGCATGTCTTCCATGATATGATGTATGTCGTAGTTGACTAAATGATATGAAGCATGTTTCACTTAAGTTAGTCATATGAGTTGTTTAGCATGATATGTTGAAATGTAAGGAGTCTTATCTATGCTGGCCTAGTGGAACACTTAGGTGTGGTGTGAAGAGGTAGTATGGGATTCCACTTCATATCTAACTTAAGTGTGTCTTAGGGCTATTATATATAGGGACCCTAATATGATTGAGATGCCTTGCTTGATGTATATGTTCTTGTATTGTGTCTTGACATTGAAGGAGCATGAGGAGAATGGTAAGTTCACCTTTGGTGGAAATGTGATGATAATGACTTGGATTTTGGTAATACTTGTATTTGATGCCTCTTATTCTTATGTTCATGAAATATGTTGAAATTGGTATCATGCATGGTTTCCAAACCAAAATGTCTGTTTTATCATGTTTTCGCATGGTCATCATACTTAGTACATTTGTGTGTACTAACTCCATATTTTCCTCTATGTCTACAAGTGTAGGCTCCGACAAGTGACTTGCTAGTTCTAGTGAAGACTCGGATTGAGACTCCCAAGTTAGAGTAGTATGTCTTCATTATTCGGGGACACATTTTAGAAGCTTTATGTTTTGTTCTACTTCTTTGTATTAGACTCCTTCTAGACTTTTCAAGTGAAAAGGGCAGTGACCCACTTATGTTGGTTTTTCTAAGATTGTATTAAGATGGCCATGTGAGACAAGTAGACTTCCGCTGCAATGTTTTAAATGTTTAGTATGTTTCGAATCGTATGTTTTGAATAAAAAGTTTTAATTCTGTACAAATTTTATCATCAATACAATTAAATGAACTATAAGGCTTGTATGAGGCTCTTCGGAGTCTTGTATGTCATGTCGCTTCCGGGGCATAGGCTCGGGTTGTGATAAACATGGTATCAGAGCAAAGATTTTGGAATGGTACATTCAGGATGTCATTTTACAAGCCACGTCTAGTAGAGTCTTGTTCATCAGTGTGCGTCGCGACACACTATGAGCGAGAGGCTATAGGACATTAAGATGTTTCACTTTCTTTATACTCTTATGTCGTGCTTTAGAGCTATATATATAGTTGTCCATTTCCTGACCCTTTGTCTTGTGTTTATAGGATATGAATACAAGAAGGAATAACGCTAGGAGTGTAGAAGGAGAGGGTGTGAATAGAAGAGTTCCTTCTCTAGGTAATCAAGTTTCTCAGGGTAATCAAGTTCCTCTAGGTGGTCAAGTTCCCCAAGATGAAGAAGTCGTTCAATATCCTCAAGTTCCTATAACTAATGTAGAGATAAGAACGGCTCTCCAAACGTTGACTTATTCTTTGATAGCTCAAGTGACTAGGGATGCCAAAGCTCATGAGAACCCTAATGAGAGCACTATAGCTTAGAGGCTAAGAGATTTCACTAGAATGAATCCTCCTCAGTTTTTTGCCTCTCAAGTGGGTGAAGACGCTCAAGAGTTCCTAGATGATGTTTGTAGGATTGTAGAAGCTATGGGGGTGACTACTAGGGATAAAGTGGAGTTGGCCTCTTATCAATTAAAGGGTGTGGCACAAGTGTGCCATACTCAATGGAAGAGGAATAGGCTGGAAGGAGCGGTTGCTATAGGTTGGGAGGTGTTCAAAAGAGTTTTCCTCGATAGATTCTTTCATAGGGAGAAAAGAAAAGGAAAGGTAGAAGAGTTTATCAAACTTCATCAAGGAGGTATGGGGGTTGAGGAGTATTCTCTTAAGTTCACATATTTGTCTAAATATGCTCCTTCTATGGTTGCAGATCCTAGATATTAAATGAGTAGGTTCGTGACGGGTGTGTCTAGCTTGGTGAGAAAAGAATGTCGTTCGGCTATGCTTCATGATAACATGGATATATCTTGTCTTATGGTTTATGCTAAGAAAATGGAGGATGAAAAGATCCAAGAAAAGAATAGGGAATTGAAGAGGTCTAGATCTGATGATCAAGGTCAACCTAAGTTCAAAAAGAGGTCAAGCAACCAAAATTCCTCCTATGCTTCTTCTATGGTGAGCAAATATGGGGTATCTAACCCTAAATCTCAAGGAGGAAATGGAGGTGGTTCTCCTTATGGTAGGCCTACATGTGCTAATTGTGGAAAACACCATTTGGGTAAGTGTCTCATCGGTACGGATGGTTTCTTTGGGAGTGGAAAGAAGGGACCTAAGATGAGAGATTGTCCTACACACATGGATAAGGGGAGAGAGGCCAAGCAAGCTTCTTATAGTTTACCGGATCCTAATGCTCCCAAGAAGAATCGTTTCTATGTGCTTCAACCTAAAGAGAGTAAGGAAAGTTATCCCGGTGAAGACACCTGTAAGTGATGGTTTCCTTTGATTTAGAATTTGATGTCGAGGTCCTTATGTTGTGTGCATGTTAGCCTAGTATGAGTATGAGTTCTTCCTTTAGTCGGGGATAGTATGTTGATTATGAGGTGGTGAAGAATTCCGGTATCCTTATCACTTTCTTTTATTCCTATTTAAGCTTGAGACTTAGCGTTCTTAGTAGCTTATTTCATGTTTTGGAGTCATGAATAATTATGTGTTTCATGGTTTCCTTATGTTATTCATACTCTTGATGAGATTATGATAGAATGATCAAATGAGTAATTGATCTATATTCCCTCATGTTGTTGTGCAATTATTATGAGATGATTGTTGTGAATTCAATAAGTGAATGTATGATCATGCCTATGTGTGCTTTTGAGAGTAATTTAATATTTTTGGCTTCATGTTGTTGTAATGAGCATGCTTATGATCGAAGAAGGTAGTTCCTCCATTTAAAGAAAGAAATGATGAACTATGTGTGCCTAATGAGTTTGTAGAATGCAAGGAATAAATGTTGAGATAAAGTTGATGTTTCTTTAGTTGGTGCATGGATTATGATGTTGTATGTTTGATGGGCTGCTAGTTTTGAGTCGTTACTTCGTTGAATGTTTAAAGTGTCATTTGAGGACGAATGTTCCTAAGTGGGGGATAATGTAGCGACTCAGAAAATGATAGGATGAAGTAGAGCCATGACGTTTGGGTTAGTGTGACTTTGAGTGGGTGTATGGGCTGTTTTTAGGATCTTAATGGGGGTGAGGATGAAGTCTAGGGTGCAAGTAAGCACCTATGCTAGCAAGAAAGGGTGGTAGAAACATTGATTTTAGAGGGGTTGGTTGGCGATGGGGCTGGTTGATCGCCCAAATGGTTGGGCGACTCACCCATCTGCCCTTGTGATCGCCTAATGGCTGCCTCATTTCGCCATGATGCTGGACCAAAGGGCGAGCTAAAGGGTAACTGCCAACCAGGTTTGGCGTGTAGCCCTTTGGCACCCCTCCATCGCCCAATGGACTTCCCATTTGGTGAGCCTACTGGAACAAAGGGCGAGCCAAGGGTATAATTGGCAAGTCGCCTAATGCACTTGGAGGGACCAAGTGTCCAAAAGGCGAGCTCAAGCGGGCAAGGGGCAGAATTTTGAAGTTAAAATTTTAGGGTCCTTAGTTCTTTTCCTAAGTTGAGTCCCTATTATTTTATTCCTTTCCCTACATGTATATAACCCTTTTAAGACCTAAACCCTTCCATTTAAGTTCCTCCAAATAGAATTAAAGGAAACCCATCTCCTTGTCACGACCCGAGAGCACCCCCTAGTCGTAACC